AAGCAGTCGTTTGCTCTAGCTCTTATGCTTCTTTGGGCTCTTTGGAAAGACCGTAATTCTCGTATCTGGGAGTGTGTGGGTACTAGTCCCACGGGTTTAGTGTTTCAGGCCTCTTCGTGGTTGTAGGAGTTTCATAGTCTGCTCTTGGGTCAATCACCTTCAGTCCCCCTTCAGCCTATTCACAGATGGATTGCGCCTAGGGACGGTTTTGCCAAAGTCAACGTCGGTGGAGTGTGGCTTGCTGCCGATCGTTGTGGGGGTATTGGGGTGGTGATCCGCAACGAGTCAGGGAGCGTTCTGGCGGCTTGTTCTAAAAAACTTAGGAATATTGGGTCTCTTGATCATCTTCACGCTGTGTCTTTGCTGGCGGGCATCCGGTTGGCTGTGGAGTTGAATCTCCAACGGGTTTGTTTCGAGTGCGGCTCCGCCAAGCTTGCTATAGCTGTCTCGCAAGATACCTCTGTTGCTTCTAGTGGGGGGGTTTTGATTGATGACTGTTGTGTGCTCCTCTCTCACTTCCAGTCATCTTCCGTGGCCAATGTGCCTAGGCTTTGTAACCGTGTCGCTAACAGGCTTGCCTTGTTTGCTTTTCATTTGCACCAAGATTGTTTTTGGTTTGGTGAGGCCCCTGAGCTTGTTCAGGAACTCCTCACCCAAGACTGTTGCCTCAGCTAATCTTCACTGCAATGAATCGGTTTATTTCAAAAAAAAAAAGATTGGAGGACAAGAAAGGTGATAACTTCCAATCTGAATGCTTTCGTCATTCGTCTTTCATGATTGGTGACTATGATGGAGTTCAAAAGTTCGAGGCCTTTCGCGAAGTTGAACGTTTGCGAACATTCCTGCCACTTTCACTATCAAATACTTGGCAGACTAGATATCTGGCTCGTAAGGTAATTTTTGATTTATTAACTCAGATGCAATACTTACGGGTGCTTTCTTTGAATGGCTATGAAATAGCTCATGAGCTGCCAGATTCAATTGGTAATTTGAAGTATCTGCGGTATCTTGATCTTTCTCACACAAGGATAACAAGTTTGCCTGAATCAACAACCACTCTTTACAACTTACAGACATTGATACTTGAAGATTGTCGTTATTTGAAGGCACTACCTAGAAACATGAGGAATCTAGTGAATCTGCGTCATCTCAACAATTCAAATGTAGTTTCACTAAAAGCAATGCCTCTGCAACTAGGTCGGTTGACAAATCTACAATCTTTGCCTAATTTTGTGGTGGGTAAAGGTAGTGATGAATCAGGGATAAGAGAGATTGGATCCCTATCCCATCTCCGAGGGACATTATCGCTCTCAAAGTTGGAGAATGTGATTGATGCTGAGGATGCACGGAAGGCTGACTTAAAATCCAAGGAGAGAGTAGATGAATTGGTGCTAGAATGGTCGGATAACACACGAGAAACTCAATTAGGTGTGCTTGACAGATTAGAACCTCATAGAATGCTTGAAAAACTCATCATCAGGGGTTATGCTGGATTAGAATTTTCAACATGGATTGGAGATCGTTTATTCTCCACTATGGTGCATGTACGCTTAGACAAATGTAAAAATTGTCAAATCTTGCCACCACTTGGGCAACTGCCTTTGCTCAAAGAACTTTATATTACAGGAATGGCTGCAGTGAAAAGTGTTGGTCCTGAGTTTTATGGGGAGGGTAGCTTGCCTTTTCCAGTACTAGAGACTCTTGTGTTTGAGGATATGCAACACTGGAAGAAATGGCTTCCTTTCGCACAAGATCAGGTTTTCCCTTGCTTGAAGTTTCTTTCAATCAGCAATTGTCCTCAATTGGAGGGTAAGTTGCTCGAGAACCTTGATTCATTAGAAACACTTACAATTATTAAATGCGAGGAATTGGTGATTTCAATTTCCAACTATAAACAAATTGGTCGATTATGGATTGAAGGCTGCAAAGCGGTGGTGAAGACAAGTGGGGTTGAGTTTGAGTTATTAGAGTCCTTGGGACTTTCATATATTTCAGAGGTGAGGTTCCAAAGAGGGGAATTCACCAAAGGATTAAGGAAGGTTGCAAAATTGAGGATTGGCGGATGTGAGGAGCTGACATCTTCACTGAAGAATGAGGATAGAGTATTGCAATACTTGATTTCTCTTGATCATTTGGTTATTAAAAGCAACTCTTCCCTCCTTGAAAAGCTGGGAAAAGAAGCAGAGGAGTTGCTGCAATTGCAAATATTGACTTGCAAGCTTAAATATCTACATTTAAACAAGTGTGCAAGTCTTTCGAAGGTACCAGAAGGGTTGCATCACCTAACGGCTCTTCAACACCTTCAAATTGTTGGATGCTCAAATCTGGTTTCTTTCCCAGATGTTGGTCTGCCTCCTTCCCTTGAAGTCATATGGATTCTGGGGTGTCATTCGTTGCTGTATTTCGCAAAATACCGGATTCCCCCAAATCTAAGAAGAATAGAGATATTTCAGTGTAAAAGTTTGAAATCATTAGTAGAGAAAGAGGAGGATAGTTCTTCGTCTTCGTCTTCTTCTCATATTTCTCTTGAGCACTTGGGAATATCGAGATGTGAATCTCTAACGTCGTTATCATTGAGAGGCCAGTTGTTTCCCAGGGCGCTTAAAAGCCTTGAAATATTCTATTGTAGAGAGCTGCAGTTAAATGGGTTAGCCCACGACAACACTAATTATTGTCTTGAACGTATTAGCATCAAATTATGCCCAAATCTGAAATCGTTACCAGAGGGCCTATGCCACCTCACCAATCTTCAAACTTTAGAGATTTTTGGTTGTGGGAGTCTGGTTTCCATCCCGAGCCTGAGTGGTGAGGGTTTGCTTTCGCCAACAACAACAGCCGCCTCCAGCCTGAGACAAATCAAAATCGAAAATTGCAACAAATTGGAGATGTTACCGGACATGCGCAATCTCAACTGTCTTTAGGAATTGAATATTGGAGGAATCAAGAATTGTAAGCCGCTGTCGGAGCTGTTGCACAGGCTCACCTCTCTTACAAAATTGTCCATCAGTGGTGTAGACCCAAGTGTGGTTTCATTTCCACCCGACAGTTACAGGGAGATGGATATGGAGATGCTGCTCCCCAAAACTCTCACTCGTCTCTCAATTGGGGGCTTCCCAAATCTGAAGAAACTGAGGAGCAAGGGCTTTCAATTCCTCACCTCTCTTCGATCTCTTCAACTCCAGAATTGTCCAAAGCTGGCACATATTCCAGCGGAGGGGTTGCCTATTTCACTGAGGCAACTTTATATCAGTCGGTGTCCTCTGCTAAAAGATAAATGCCAGCCTGGTAGTAAAGGACGATACCTGCCCAAAATATCCAACATCCCCCGCATAGAAATAATGGATTAGAAGACGGTTTGAAGATGATGAGAACCCACACCCACACATGGGAGGACATGGACATGGTCAACTCCGACTCTCACTGTCCCCAGGTACTTCAAATTTCAAACATTATCAACACTTTCCCTGTACTCTTTATGGTGAGACTCCTTTTCTGTCATATTATTGCGAGTAGTTTACCTTAGTTTCATTTCAAACAAATAAGTAATTTACACCAAGGCATGACCATGACACATTGAAATATGATTTTCAATTGCTATTTTGGTATTTCATAACTTTGTTTCACTCATCTCTCAATTGTAGGCTTCCCAAATCTAAAGAAACTGAGCAGCAAGGCCTTTCAATTCCTCGCCTCTCTTCAATCTCTTCGACTCCGGAATTGTCCAAAGCTGGCATCTATTCCAGTGGAGGGCCTGGTTCTTTCACTTTCGCAATTTTATATCTCTGGGTGTCCAAAGATATTTTGGGTCACATCTTCAGGTCTTATCTTTGGACGTTGGACGATACTGGCCCAAAATATCTCGCATTCCTTGCTTGGGTACCATGAAATAAGAATGTCTTATTATTTTTCAGATATTCCTGTTTTCTTCAATTTAGTTGGCACTTGCAAACATGCCATCAAAATTTGAATGGAGAACATTTGAAATATATATAGTAAAAGAAAATACTTCGTTTCTCACTTGGTTTGCCTTGTAATATTTCGTCATCAGAAAACTTTTAGCCATATTTTTCTCTCCTTTGTTTGCTTGACTTCAATTAGAATAGCTTTGTACAAGAAATAATCCGATAAGCTTGAGCTTTTACTTCTTGATCAGGCAAACTTCTAGAGTCCGCGTATGATTAGAAGACCACATTTTGTGGATTAAGACGATGAATTGTCTTACAATTAAGAGTTATGGACAAACATATGTAGAGAATACTTCAATTATTTGGACATTACAAAATTGATTGAGCTCTATTTTTAGATGATTTGGCAAGATATATTTGGCCGATTCTTGCCAGGAATTTTGAGGTGCCAAAACGATGCGCAGCGAATTGGAGTTACATTACTGTTTAGCCATCCCTCACCAACTCTTTTATGTTTTTCCTATAAAAACAAACTCTGTTTTGCTTTTGTTTTGAATTTAACAATAACAATAACAATTAAATTTGAAATTGAATAAAAAGAAAGAGAGAAACTAAGATTGAAGAAGCCACTGAAGAGAGGTTGATAGAATTTTGGAGGAGGAGAGCTACTTCTTCTAAGCTCACGAAGTTCAATTTATGGAGTTATGGGTGCCTAGAAAAGAAAAAAGAAAAATTAGTGATGGTTTAGACGTGGGCTTATTTCTGAATGGAGATGTGGGCTTAATTCTACATAGAGTGGTGGGCTATTATTTGATTTACCTACGTTGGGCTTGTACCACTAAGCTATTCTCCAAAGTTAGCACTGGGCTGAAGCCCTTATGTAAATCCGCCCTTGGCTACAATACTCCTTTGTCAAGACTAAGTTGTGATCTCAATCTAATAATTGTGACTGACTTACTAAGTACGGTTTAGAGCAAGCACTTAGAGCATCTCCAGCAGGCTTTGGGACACTAAAATAGGTGAGCCACATTAGCAAAACCTTCTCCAACAACCTTGTCAAACCCACTCACCAAATTTGGGACTCCTACTTCACTCTTCAAAGCATTTATTAAGCTTTGGAACAACATGAGCTGTCTTGGAATGGTGAAAGCCTACATGGGGCTGAGTGAAAAACTGAATTATTATTTAAATATTGATTTCGTATTATTAAACCGAATTAAATAATAGTGTTTGATTAAAAACAAAAAGAAAAGTCAAACATTGAATTAATTAATATCAATATCAATATTTCATAAGAGAGATGAAGTCAAGGGAATGAGAAGCATACCCTTCTTTCCGTTGAAGAACCTCTTGTCTTCTGGTAAGCCATCATGGCGGTATTGACTCAACTGCACCTCAACTTCTTCTGGTTTGGCCTTGTTTTTCTTGACAACAGCCTTTGCCTCATCATAAACGCTACTGCAAGCTCCATGTTCTGAGATCGCGAGTACAGAATTTGAACGCCAAAGAAGGGCTTCGAGCACACCTAAGGGGTCTCTCCTAAATTGGGATTTTGAATCCACCCAAATGGAATACTTTGCATGAGGAAAAAGACGATGGGCCAACATCTAACACCAGAAAAAATACATGGAAGTCTCAGATAGATATTCACACACACCAATATATGTGATATTAGACTAGTACTTGTAATAAGATTTCAAGGATATTTGACATTCAGCTTAAACTGATTGTACTATGAAGAACAGATCAGCGTCTCTTTGATTAATATTCTTCTGCTTAAATTAACATAATTGACTTGACTTCACTAATGCACAGGACACAGAACAAAGGTAGCAATTACAGAAATTAGGTCACACGTCAAAAGATAATGAATAATGAAAAACACAATTTTTTGCCAAAAACAAAAAAGAAAATGACACATGAAAAGAGATAGTAGCATGATCAGGATATATTGTGTTAAATAGAACCAAAGGCAAACTGAATGATACTAGAGCGAAAAGATAATAATATAGGCCAACTCTAAAAGTTGTTACCTTTGGGATTTTTCCATTTAATCTTTGGTCCGCAAAGGGAAGATCCCTAACAACCACAATGCGCCATTTTCCAATAAATCCATAGCCATCTATTCTATGTTCAGCTGATTCCTGTGTACTTAGAGTAACTTCATCCCAAAATGCAACATAGCAAACCTGCATTCATTCAGTACCTTATAAAAACAGAGAACTTCTATAGCAATCAGTAATATTTTACTGAAAAGGGAAGAAAAAAAAACCCTTTCGAAGTGATGCCTCTGACATTCCAATAGGCTGATAAAGATCATCTCCACCACCAAATGCACATGTGGACACTACAACCTTGCAACTTTGCATGTAGTCTTTATCTTCATTTGAGATCTTAAACCCTCCATTTTCACTGTAGAAACCACAGTTCATACTAAGAGTTTCATTTACCTGTGAGCAACAAATTTCTAAAATATGAACACTGCTTGATGGTACAAAATATTATCTTGTTGTTTAAAATCCGGCCTTGACATGCTTCAAAATGAAAATAGCACTACATCAAAATCCAAAGAAATAAGTTGACTTGTTGTAAACCTTTATCCTTACGATGACAATGACCAAATATACTACTAAACCAGCTCAAGGATTAGAAACAAAGATGCAGCTTATAACCTTAAATGTTTTCGATCTTTTATCTAGAGTTTGAGCTCCAGTAAATAAATTAAATCTTGTGGCCTCTCTGTGCTCTTCAGACAGAGTGCTGTTCCCTCCTAAGAATGGAGTATCGTTCTCTGATATGTATAACACTTTACTAACAGGACTATTGGCCTCTTCGTGCACAGGAATTTCCAGATGCTCAAGTTCTTCAGGAGATAGGATCTTCAAGCAACCTAATATTATCCACAAATTTGCATCACATATCGAACTGCTTGAATATTCCAATTTTAGCTAAATTAAATTTCCACCACAGTAAAATACACAACCCAATTATCAGTTCCACTAAAACACAGCCTTTCCCAATCCTAAACTAATGTGGGTATCAAGCAAGTGATGATAATTGACAACCAAATTAATCTAAAAGGCACCATTCTAGCTTACACTTAGGGGTGGGCATCAAAACCGAAATACCAAAGTCATCCCGAAACCGTGCCAAACCGTGTCAATTTCGTGCCATCCCGTTTGGTGTTGATGTGTAAACGGGATGATACCGTGTCATCCCGTTACTTTTTGGCACGACATCGGTTTCACATTTGTGATCCCGGTTGATGTCATACCGTACCGAATAGTAAATTATTTAATTAATTCCTATTTTCATTTCAGTTCTAACCCTAAGTCCACAGAGATGTTTTTGTCGACTGCCTCTTTGTTTCTTTGCGTTTTTTTTTCTCCTTTCTCCTTTCCTCTGTCTGATTTTTCTCTTCTCTTCTCTTCTCCTTTCTCAATCAAATTGAATCTGTTCCCAACTCCACAACATCAATCGATCTCATCTTCTTCTCCTCCTCATCCTCCTTTGTCTCTGTCTCTCTGTCTCTCTCTCTCTGTTCTTCTCCAAAACGGCAAAACCAAACCAGTGGAAAAGGAAAGCCCCAACCCAACCCGAAGTCTCTCCGAATTTGTGGGATCTTCTTCTTCAAGCCTTACCCTCTGCTACCAATCTCAGGTATTTGTTTTCAAATTTGAGAAATTATTTGATTTTGGGAAGACATGAATTGGTTCTGTAAGCATGTGTGGGAATCTATTAATACCATATGGTATCAATTCTCTTATTATTTAGGATGGATTGGTTTTGATTTTGGGAAGACATGAATTATTGACATGCATATGGGCTACTGTCAGTTTACTGTTTATGTATATGTATATATATCTGATAGTTCTGTTCTTAAAGAAGTTTCTGTGCTCAGATTTCAGGCACAATAACTGTGGTTCAGCATCAATTCTATTCCATGACAAACTAGACCTCCAATGGTACACGACATCACTAATCAAGTATCAAGATTTGAAATAGTTGGATTTCAAACCTAAATTCATACATCTCAGACCCTAAATACAAAATAAATGAATTTTGAATGCCATAACATTTAGACCACAAGTTGACATTTCGATACCAAATGCAAATATCTTTTATGCATTCCATGGTCTGTTTTCTTATATATAAGCATGAAATGCAATGGTAGCACACGTGGGTTCCATTAATCATTTAAATTATGAATGTAATCAAGACCAGCCATTTGAATTAATTGGTATCATATCATAATCAAATTTGCAGATTTGATTTTCAGATTTGATTGAACTTGAAAATTTGTAGATTTGTTACGGTATCAACATTGATACCGAATCATACCGATCCCGTTTGGGTTCGGTACGATTTGAACGTGTTTTCAAAAAGGAAAATGCTAGGGAGACCAACTTGGGATACCAACTCTCTAATAGAGTGTGGGACCCATTGTATTGGTGGGATCCACCTCTATTAGAGAGTTGGTACACAAGTTGGTATCCCAAGTTGGTCATCCTACCATGACCCTTTCAAAAATCCCCATCCCGTGTCATCCCATACCGATTCCTCTATTCGGGATTGACACCGGGATGACCTTCATCCCGTGTCATGTCATACCGTGCCTACCCCTACTTACACTAACTGAAACTTACAACTTCAGTGGGAAAACAGAGAAACTAACTTATAACAGTATGCAGATTGCAGAATCGTTCATCATATTCTAAAACAACCCAAATTTTTTTTTTATATTTAATTCTTTACTTGTTCTTAGCACAATTTCGTTTAAGCATCTTACAATTGAAAAACGAATATAATTAAAAAACACAAAAGACTGAGGACTTACGTTGCCTAACGCCTCCGACAACCCGAGTCGTAGCATCAAGCCGATTCAAATTCCCGTCCGATTTCTTCTCCAAACTCGGGTTCGTGACGTTACTGAGTTCCGAGTCCACCAAGGTCGACTTTTCTGATGCACCGAGGGCTGGGAGAAAGATTAGAAGAGCCCAGTATCTGACGAGCTTCCGAACGACTCGGTGCAAGAACTCGTTCTTGAGTCGGTGGCCGGTTTTCTTGCGCTTCCTTCGAACTCGGACTCGCATCCTGCCGAGTTCGTCCGGTTCGTCATCGGAGACTGAGATTGATATGCTGTTGTTGTTGAACATTGGAC